CTGAAAAGAGCATTGACTTGAAAGATATTTCTTCAGGCCATGGGGAGGTCAGATAAAGCATTCCTGCCCACAGCACCAGGATTGCTTAGGTGTACCAGATAGCACATCTCTTACCTTGCCGGCATAGGTACCACTTGTTTTCCTATGCTGATTGTCTCATTCGGTAAGCATTTCTTTCTTGCTTTTTAATTACAGAAATAATACCAATTAATTTTATATATATTTAAATACAGATAGGCAAAAAGGAAGAAATTAATGCCAAGGATAGTTGCAGTCAACCTGAGAATTTTTCTACACATATGTATAACTATAAATGAATATATTCTGTATTATATAAAAATGGATCCTATTACACATACCTTATGTTGGCCTGATTGTTTTTCACTTAACAATATATTATGAACATTTTTCCATTAGAATAAATAAATGAATAAATGTATCATAAATATATAATATTCCATTATATGAATATATTATCATCTGTTTGTTATTTGAGTTAAAATATATTTGGAAACCTTCAGGAAGCTTTACTGCACACTTAGCCCTTGATCTGTGTTAGGTGGCCATCCCTCAACTCTCTTAGCGCCTAAAGGGACTCTATCATAACACTTAACATGCTATGTAGCTGTTTGTTTCTTGCCTGCATAGGCCTATGTCTAGTTTACTGGCTTTTTAAAATATCTCCAATGCCTAACCAGTTACTAACTCATAGTAGGATTTCTAACATATTTGTTGAACTGAATTGGGTAATTCCATTGTGGTTAAGATCTTTCTATAAACATCTTTTCACACTTGTAAAATAATTTCCTTGTGCTAAACACCTTGAAGTAGAATGGCTGAGTCACACAAATACAAATCCTAAAAATTCTAAAGCTTTTTGATGTACACCAAGTGTTCATGTAAGTATTTCTGGGCAGGAAAAAATATTCCAGACTTCTACTCAAAAAAATGTTTTAAGTTTTTCCTTGTGTCCTTGCTATCTTTCTGGGAATGAAAAAAGAAAGGGGGGGGGGGGGAAGAAAAATGGACCTGAGAGAGGAAAAAGGTAACTTTCTCTTCAATTCCATTCCCAACCCATCATCCAAAGTAAACATAAATTCAATTCCATAATATATACAATAATATATACAGTAGTCCTCAAAATATCTAGTTTTACAGATCCCTGGAACCTCCATAGTACCTTATTTCCACAATTATGATAGCTCTGTGAATGTTGTTTATAAATATATGCTGCTGGGTTTTTATTGAATTACTTTCCTCTGTCCATAGGGAAATTACAAAACAACTTCTTATAATTGCAAAACTGGACAGAAATCGTGTTGCAAAATGATATAGAGTGAAAGTATTATAAAGAACCTCCCAGGCACTTGTGACGGAGAATCTTGTTTAGAGAAACAGGTATCATTGGGAATAAAATTGCAATAGCCTTGAAAAATTTCTGTTATTTTCTTTTTTTCTTCATGACAAAGAATAAACAAGGCCCGAGTTGTTCAGGGACGAGAGGTTTCACCATTATATCCCTGAAGGCAGCAGCATTATTCTGCTTTTCATGCCAATGCCTCTTCTATTTTATGAAAATGGAAAATTCTGTGGCTTCTATATGCATTAGTCTGTCATACCAACTTGGCCCTAAAGAGATGCTATCATATGTGGCAGCCCTTTCCAATACCAAGTCACATGACACAGAATATATGATGAGCCAGTAATTAGTTTGTGAATTCAGTTACTCTAAGCAGTCTAAATGCATATTTCAAGCTTTGATTACTCTTCCATCAGGGTTTTTATTTTTCCTTTGCTTCAATTAAGCAAGCAGCTACAGAAAAAAAGCAAGATTTTAAAGACCTGTAACACCTGGATAATTGCAATTAAACATGGCTTCAGAGATGGGGAGGTGGTTCTCTACAGGAAGATTTACCAGGTATATAAAACAGGTAAATTAGAAAGTGGTTTTAACATTATGAAACTATTAACCATGTTATAAAAATTGCATTGTTAAGCAACAGTACAGTAATAGAAACCCTTAGCTAGAACTCAGTATGCCTGAACTATAAGATAAGGGGTTTGCAATCTCTAAGGTCTCTTTGTAGTCAAATAATATGTGGAATACACTATATAGAGTCTGGTACAGGAATCAGGAAAAATTTTGAAGAAAATTTAGAAAACAGGTAAGCACTGAAGATAATCACTATAAGATGGTTTTCTTTGTTTCTCATAGAATGTTTCAGGAACAGATTGGTTATGTCAATTAAGGCAACAATGGGCATGTTGCTTTATTTTCTCAGAAAAAATATAGAACCTCTCCAAAACACCACAGTGAGTAAATAGAAGAATTCAAAAGTATATTTAAATAGGGGAAGTTAGAGCTGCAAGCAGCCTTGAGGGTCACTTATTCTAGCTTCCTCAATTTAGAGTTGAAGAAGCTGAGACCCACATACCCAAGAACTGTAAGTTAATAAAAAAAAAACAGTCCAAAAGTCACATCTCCTGGGTGCCAGGCCAGTGCTCTTTCAACACACCTCAATATGACCCTGAACACTGAAACTATTTTTACCTCTGTTTTGATTCGTACTGTAATTTTTACTCTTACTTATTTGCATCTTCACAGGTTTGATTCAATTGATTGAAAACTATAAAGTCAATTTTAAATACACTTGGGCTGCATCTAACCTTTTAATGCCATGGCTTCATTGTAGCACTTGCTTGCTAAATCAAGGTGTTGCTGCTCATTCATTGGTGATGTCTAAGCAAAGTAGAAGAGACTAATTTGTAGGCATTTTATAAAAGAAGTCAATACCTCTGTTGAGGAATAAACTAAGGTTTCCAGAGGTTTCTTTTTGTTCAGAGGCTTCAGCTGCCTATGACTTCTTTGTATCTACCTAGTGTTCACTCAGAGCACTTTGGTGCATAATAAGTTGCTCATCAAGCACCTCTGTGAGCTGAAGTTTCTGTTTGTTGGGTGTGATGAGTTGAAGCTGCCTGATTATGAAAACAATTGCTTCTTCCTCTGCTGGTGGGTTCCATCCTGGCCAAACACCTAGCCATGCAGGTATGTTTGCCTTCAAATAGCTAAAAGACTTTGTGATGGTTAATTTTATGTGTCAACTTGACTGGGCTAAGGAAAGCTCAGATAGTTGGCAAAACATTATTTCTGGGTGTGTCTGTGAAGGTGTTTCTGGAAGAGATTAGCATTTGAATCCATAGCCTGAGTAAAGATCATCCTCACCAATGTGGTGGGCATCTTCCAATTTATTGAGGTCCCAAATAGAACAACAAGGTGAAAGAAGAGTGAATTCTCTCTCTGTGCTTGAGCTGGGACATTCATCTTCTCTTGCCTCAGACATCAGCACTCAAGCCTTCAGACTAGAACTACTACTTACATCATTGGCTCTTCTGATTCTCAGGGCTTCAGGCTTGGACAGGAGCTACACCACTGGATTTCCCAGTCCTCCAGGTTGCAGAAAGATCATGGGACTTCTCAGTCTCCATAATTGCATGAGCCAAACTCTCATAACTCCTCTCTCTCTCCACACACACACACACACACACACACATCCTATTGGTTCTGTTTCTCTGGATAACCCTGACCAATAAATAGTTTTCCAAAAATAAAAAATTAAAACAAAGTTTCAAATTATCTTATGCCATTCCTAAAAGTAGAATTAGGCCAATGAATGGATATTACTGAAGAGGACCTTAGGCTATCATTAGGAAAAAATTTATAACATTTAAAGCTGTCCAAAAATGAAATAAACTGTCTTGAAACTTAAAAATTTCTTGTCACTGGGAGTGTTTACAGTAAGTCTAGAGGACCTCATGTCAGAGATGTGGAGATGAAAAGAAAAACAACACATTCATTGAGAGGTTGCACTCAACTTTCTAACTGTAAAATGTTAATATTCTATGAGGTTTTTTTTATTTTAAAAAGTTATATATCAAATGTATCTACAAGTATTTGTGAATCTTGTTTTTTGAGTATAGCGCTGGAGATAGAGGTCAAAGCAATAGAAGACAGAATTCCTTCAAGAGCAGAGCTTTCATTAATGCTTAGGAGACAATGATAATTCACCAAAAATTCTTAAAGAATGACATAACCAACATAAGAACACATGTCACATTAGAAGACATTATCTATAAATTATGTGGGATCTGGGAAAGTAAGGAACACAACTGAATCAAGAGCTTGGGTTTGAGTATGGCCTTTAATAAATGATTAGAATTTAAATGGAAATGGAGATAAAAAATGGAAGGGTGAGAAGTGTGAACTATTATGTAGAAATTAGGATATATGTGCTTTAGGAGGCCTTTGGTGCAAGAGATCCAAGGGAGTAAGAAGATGTTTAGGGAAGTATATGGGAAGTATATTTTTACCTCCTAAGTTTCCATCATATGGCACAGTACACACACAGGTAGATGTGAAAGAATCCATTCTTGAGCTGGTTCACCCCCTGTAATCTTGACACCAGGCCGTAAGTGCTATCTTAGGTTTTCATATGAGGTACAACAAACTGGCTTTAAGCACTCATAACAGCATCATATCCAATTTGACCTTGGGAACCATTTCCTGAATGCTGTGTGATTTGAAAAGCAGTTTCTTTTCAATCAAACACCACCAGTCCTTTGCTGAAATTGGATGTGTGGAGGCTGTCTACCTTTCTAGATGAAAGCAAATGGCACATAAGCAAGCCTGCCTTATGTTTGCATAGTATGCCTATTGACAGTGGTAAAGAACAACTGTTATCTTCAAAAGTAGGACACAGACAGAGAGGAGAGTAGGTGCTATTATCCAGGCCCATTTATAATCATTGCGGTCCAAAGAGTAGAAAAGACATAGAGAAATTGGACAGCTCTTACAGGCGATGCATTATAATGAATGGGAAATATTTAGAAACCAAGATAGGGAAAGGGAATGGAGCACTTGGCTTCCCAACCTCCCCAGGATTTACTGAAGTTAGAAGTATATGATAAAAAACAATCAGAGTAAATTGCAGAGCCATCTTTCACGCTGCTTTAATTAAAAAGCCTTTCATCACTTCCAGCTTAAACATCTCTTCTCTCAGTCTTAAAAGTAACTACTGAATCTTCTAGTGCTTTCACATTGGTAGTCAGGAAAATTTGGTTTTCATTTCCAGGCTGTGCGTGGAAAGCATTTCATATACTTTCCCTGGTAATTTGAATATTTCTTCTCTCGCTTTCACTCCATTCCAGAGTAAGGCATGTTATCTCAGGTATTCAAAGCCAACTAGGATGTCAATCACTTTGATATAAAGGTTATAAGGCTTGTAGTTGTCGAAGTCGCTCTCATATACACTAAGTGGAATAAATACAAACAGTGGATGCATTAGGAGGCATTTAGGGTGTTAGGTACTCATGACAGCTTAGAGGACATTACTTTGATAACTTTAAAAGGCAGAGGAAATGCAACAACATGGTCGTTTGCCATTTCTTCACTTGTTCCACATCCTCTTTGCGTATTTGTATAAACTAACCCTTTTGAAATATTCTTCCCTACTTTTCCTTGTCAGAATTCTATCCCATCTCAAATCCAGCCATCTTGTCTCCATGATCTCTAATTTCATGACTTATTAAAGAGAAAAGCAGACTAGCTCACATCAATGCAGGTTTGTGCTAGAAATGTGGTCCAATGTCACATAAAAGTCACATGAAAAGGCCTTTTTTTAAAAGTGACAATGCTAGTGCTAAAAAGGTTACCACATTTCTTGAGTTTTAGATAGATACATTTAAATATCCATCACATAAATCTTATGGGATTTAGTATAAAATTACATTTATTTGACATATGCACAGAATGCCCATGAATGCTTTGCTTTTTACTATGATTTTCTTGTTTCCTATTCTGAAACTAATCACTTGCTTCCATCTTCCTGAGTCCAAGTCATTAAGAGATAGGAGTGTTAGAAGTTGAGCATCTAGTGTGTTGGGTCCTAGGGCCCTGTTCTGACACAGGCCTGTACTACTCCTTCAAGAACATTAGCAGGTACTAGGAACATATCCCAGACACATACCATTTGTTGGCCAGTTCACCACTCATAAATGTTGGCTGCCTCACTTTGGGGTAGCTCCTACATGCACTCACCTTTCCCCTACTGTTCCCTCCTCTGACCATATTCCAGCTATTAATACAATAGGCCACTTGGATAAAAAACCAAATATCAAAAAATATACCCCAGAGGAACTTATAAAATGGTATCCTGGTCCCTAATTTTAGCTTTGAATCAAAATCTCATGGGCTGCCTTACATCTAAGCATCCCTCCTATGTTTAGGAGATTCCCCATGGAGGAGCCTTGCCAGGACATAGGCCCTGGTTGCCAACATGGAAGCAGCCAATGCCAGAGACTCATCTCCCAGCCTCTCTTACTGCTAGAGCATGGCCTACATGCTGCCAACTGCCATGCACACTCCTACACTCTGAATCAGGGCTTTGGAGAAGCAATAAGATAGAGATGTTCAGGATACTCCAGGTGTCCGAGACAGACACAGTGCCAGCAAGGTGGCGGTGGCAGCAATTCTGTGCTGTAGTTTAGGGTATTTTCGCAGGCCCCCTCTGAATGGTAAGCTGTAAGTATACAGTGTGTTTTTTAAAAAATAGCTTTTGTGAGGTTTAATTTTCATACCATAATATGCATCCTTTTAAGTGTAAAATTCAACAATTTCCTTTGTAAATTCACAGAGGTATGCATCTATCACCACAATCCAGTTTTAGAACATTTCCATTACCCCCAAAAAGTTCCCATATGCTTACATGCAGTTAATGCTGGTTCCTACCGCCGGCCTTAGGCAACTATTAACTTTCTTTCTGCATTCATAGATTTACTTTTTCTGGTTATTTCATAAAATTGGAATCATGCAATTTGTGTTCATTTGCATCTAGTTTTTTCGACACTGAGCATAATGTTTGGAAGTTTATCCACATGGTAGCATGTATCACTACTTTAGTTCTTTTATTGTTGAATGGCATTCCATTGCATGGCTTTTTGTTTATTCACAGAACATTGTTGGACATTGGGATTGTTTTCACTTTTTGGCTACTATGAAAAGTACTGCTGTTACACAGAGTCTTTTTATTAATAATACATTTCTCTGTAACACCTCCAGAGTAGATTGCACCCATCTACAAAGATACCTGACAGATAGGTGAAGGCTTTTAAAATTATAATTCCTTGGGGCCCACTTAGACTACTAAGCCCAAATCCTCACATCTGGGATTCAGGAATCTTTTATTAATAATACTCTATCAATTGGCAGTTGGCATGACGTAACTCTGTGAAACAATATTTGGGAGCCTCTGGTATAGAAGACAATGTTTGTGTAGCTTTTCCCCACTTCTGTGCCTTTGATAATACTTTTTCCTCATCTTAGAATACACTTTCCTTTACACGATATCCTCCTCTAAAAACGTATCAACTTGTGTCCCTTTTAATGAAAACTTAACACAGTCTCTTAATTTGAAATAAATATTCCTTCCTCTGTGTTCCCATAACATGCTGTCTTATTTATCAAAGCCTGACTTATCTGCCTATTTTATTTTTACATTTGACATTTTCCCTCTCCTTGCCTTTTGAAACCTTAAAGTCTTTAGATGAGGAATGCTTCTAGAAATTATTTTCTCCTTTAAATGTACTGCAAACTCAATTCCCACATTTGTGCTTGCTAACTTCAATTTATTTAATAATTTTTTGTACTTCTTTTTAGGCTTCTTGACAAAGGGAGGCATGTTTTTCTCAATGAGCAGCAGTCTTCTTATACTCACCTGGATTATCTAAGTATTATTATTCAGTAGGTCTATTTATTACCACTGTCAACCTGCCGCCTCCACCTCATAGTTATGAGCCAAGTGATGTGTGTATTTCATTTTGAGAAACATTGGTATAAATAGAGTCAGAAATGTAATTGCTATCACATGTGCTCTCATAGGCTACCTCTATTTTAGTTTTCCTATTGAAATAATTTACCCTAATTTTATCTTGAGGATCAGGGTGACCTTTTTAAATTCCCTGGACATAAGAATTGAGGTCTTTTTTAATTTCCTGGCCTAGTGCTCTAAGGTACTATACCATAAGTGCACACATCTGTCTAAATTACCTTGCTGTGCTCTGGCATGGGCTTTGACTAACCCACCTCTTGGTTCTGATCTCTCAGAACCTTTGGTTCTTTCTCTTTTTCTCTCTCCTGACCTTGCTATTAATGCTTTTTTGTTGAGCTATTTACCAAATTTTCTATTTCCAGATTAGCCCATCAGGGAAACATTTCTCCATTCCGAACTTGCTTTGAGTCATCATGGATCACATTTTCCCATATGGAACCAGTATGATAAAAGAGCAAGCCACAGTTTAGCATAGAGCTGAGCACTGTGGTGAAGTCAACATTTGGAAAACGGATCTATCTTCAGCTCTTGGCTCTAGAAACGTAACTACAGAGGCCAAACGCCAAGTCCAAGTGAACACCCTACTCACAGTACCCGTTTCAGCACAGATTGGCACCAACGCTTCTAATTAGGCACAGCAACCAGCCAGGAATCAGACTGGCTTCTGGTGGTATATTTGGAAACTCTTTCCAAAGAAAGCAGAAATCCAAAGACCTGGTCTGGCAATAGGGGCAGAACTCCAGACCTGCCCATGGCAAAGGCAGGCAATGGGTTTACTGACATTAAAGTGGGCATTCCAGGAAGGCTCTGGTTCTAAAAAACAAACAAAACAACAACAACAATAATAATAATAATAATAAACAGCCTGACTGGTAGAATAACCATTGAGAACCAAAAGAGGATGGCAAATCTGTAGAAGTAGCCAAAACCAAGTGTGAGAGAAAGGATGAAAGAACATAAGGACTGAATAAAACCAGAGATCTGCATAGAGTAGACTTCCTGTGAGTGATAAAAAGTCCCAGATTCTGCATGTTGAAGCAGAGATTAGATTTTACTCTATTGAAGGAGATAGTGAAGCTGTGGAAATAATGTTCTTACTCAATCAGAACTGGCCCAGAAACTAGAAAATCTGAAAACACAATTGAGGAGAAGTTTTTGCTAGATAATGTAGGTTATTCTGCTAGGAACCAACCCCAAGATACTTATGTCTATCTTCTTTGGTTTTAGACTCTTTGACTAAGGGAGCCACATCCTTCTTAATGGGAAGGAAAATCTTTTCATATTCATCTGGAGCACCAAAGATTTATTTGTCATTCACATTATATATCTGTCATGTGGTGGCTCATGCATATGATTCCAGCACTTTGTGAGACTGAAGTGAGAAGGAAGCTTGAGGCCAAGAGTTTAAGATAAGCCTGGGCACCATAACAAGACTCCATCTCTACAAAAAATAAAAATAAAAAACATTAGCTGGGCATGGTGATCCATACCTTTAGTACTGGTAGCTACTTGGGAGGCTGAGGCAGGAGGATCACCTGAGCCCAGTAGCTCCAGCCTGCAGTGAGCTATGATTGTGCCACTATACCCCAGCCTGGGCAACAGAGCAAGATTCTGTCTCAATTTAAATTAAAAATAAAAAAAAAAGAACCCAAAGAACCCGGGCTAATAGAGCAGGTGACTGTCCCAGAGGTGGGTTCACTTCTGGAATGTCTTGAATGATCAATGAATGGTTCAGCCTAGAAAGACTCTTTGGTTTACAGTTCATTGGCCAGAACTAGCTACATGGCCTCAGCCAACCACAGGAAACCAGAACTTTTCCAAAAGTATAGAACCAGAGATATTTGGTGAGCAGCATTATTGACTATTTGAGTCCTTTTTTGAACTTATATATATATTTTAAATTTAGGAATATAAAGCAATGTTTCAAATGTAAACACAAGCGTAATGTTTTATGATGAATCTCTTCTTTCGGTCATATCAGTGTAACTATGGATAAGCTCATTATACAATGGAGTCCAAAGTGTACATTTGAGATTCTTCTACCCCCCCCCCTCCTCCCACTCCATGCTTTTGGGCTCTGGATTGTCTGCAAAGATCCAGTGAGGACACAGGAAGTTACTGAAAACTACTTAATTTCCTGATCTCACCAACTTACCTTTCAGTCCTAGAACACAACCAGTCATTTTTCTTCCTCTCTCTTCTTTGTTTCACTATCCTCTCCCCACCTCTAACTACTATCACACGAACACTTTATCAAGTATCCAGTCATTTCCTCAGGCTTCATTTCAAGAATAATTTTCCCTGCAAAATAAAAATTCACCTGCATTGAACCATAATTTATCTACCTTGGCTCCAGCCAAGCTGGATACTACCAAATTTAATCTGGTTTGTGGTTTGGGGTTATACAGTACAAAAATACATAGAAAGTTCAGAATCAAAAGAGTAATCTTACATGGAAATTCTGCAGGTGATTGCATAGATAGAAATGTCTTTAACCCATTATATTTTAAAGAATTTTGGAAGACATTAACACCAAAATAAAACAAACAAAAGTGTGTATTTTGTTTTTGAAAACATCACCGGGAGGCTCCACCTTATTTACAAGTACAAATCTGACTTGCTATAAAGCTTTCCAATTGGATATACAATTTTAGTTCATCCAATGATTAAAGGAAATAGCAAAATAAACCAAAAATTTGATTGATTTGGGGCTGTTTGCAGCCTGAATGTCAAGTAGAATAGAACATCAGTCACTTGGTCCTATACCCTGAAATTTTCATGAGACTAGAAATATGCAAACAAGCTACTGCACTTCACAGATAAAAACCCTGGGGGAAAATCTGCAGCACTAAGCAATGTTCTGAAACAAACAAGACAAAAGAGAGATTTTTGCACATTTTATAAATTAAAAACATATTTGTGCCGAGTAAGTATATGTTTTGTTAATGGTGAATTCTTGTCATCTATAGTTTAATAGAGAAGAAACAAGAGCAAATTTATTCAATAGAAGTTTTGTTTTCTCCCAAAGTTATGCGTGTGCCATGCACAGAAAATGAGAAAGCTGATCTTGTTCTGTCATCATAACTTATACAATGTGAATGTATTGCTTTGGGATTTTTTAACAAACATCAAAGATAAAGTGGCATGGATTAAAATGTTTCTAACATTACGTTATGGTTCAGCTATATGTTTTGTGTTTTCAATGAGGCTAATTCAGGGTAACGTGGTTTTTCACACATGGGGTAATAATCAATGGTATGCTTTCTATTACTACACAATTATATCATCAACTGATAATGATTATGCAAAGTGGCTAATTATTTTATGATTACTTTAGATTAAGCATTCTAGGAAATTGCACCTACCTTTTAAAAACGAACAAAAGTCTAATTTCATAAGCCATTAGCAAAACTACGTTTTCCCTCGACTCTTGGAAGTACAGCTGTTTGTCATTGCCCTCTGAGTATCTGCATTAACTTGGTCAGTCCCCTTTCTTCACATCAACAGGGACCAGAGAAAGCCCAGTGGGGGCCTGAATAAGATGTGTGTACCTGGAAACTAATTAAGTTTGATTTATTTTTTTAGCAGCACTTTGCCTTTCTCTTTCCATGTTTTATTTAAAACTTGATTGCTTAAATAGCAATAAACAAGCAACTAAACTAAGGTCGGCTGATAATTATATTGAATTCCATCGATGTATCAGCAATGATATTCATGATCTCTTGCACAATGAAGCATCCGCCACTTTTATGCTACTCTTTTTGACATCTAAATTTACTTCAGGTCCCTGGCTTGATTTCTGTTTTTCAGATCACAGAAACAAAGTTAGAGTTCTCTTTCTTCAAATCATAGTTTTAATCCAACCTCCTCCATTATGCCTTTCTTGATTACTTCATCCAGATGTGATTTTTCTCTAAACCACCATACTTATTTTATAGTTTTCTCATAGCACTCATCATACATAGCTTGATAAGGCTGCCACTTGAGTAACGCTTCAACATTGGAGTCAGAGTAAGTTCCCACCCAAGAAACCCTGGATAATAGTTATGTGGTAACTAGCCTTGGTTTCCTTATGTAGAAATAGGAATGATACCTATTTGGTCAATCTTCCAAGATCATTGTGGCATCCAAACTTGACAATGTATATAATAGATATTTCTAAATTCTATGTTAGTGCAGAAATGTCACCTGTGTTGTACTACTGCACCCCTTTGTGCTCCAAAAAGACTGGTGTTCAACAACTTTGCCTAATGAATAAATAAAAGAATGTATAATTGAACTGATTGGTTGATTATTTAGTCAATGAAAGAAATAGAAGTTTCCTAAGGAAGAGTCCAGAGAGGAAATCAGTGACTATAAGAGTAGAAAAAGGAGAGGAAAGTAGAAAAGCAAAGACAAGGAGTAAGAAGTATACCAATCCCCACTTTAGTATTCATCATTGCCTACTTTTCCCATTCCTCTGCCTTCCTTTAAATGCTGCCAGAGGATCCACACGACATCATGATCTTCATTTCTGTTAACATTTGCTGCATCCCCACAATAGATTATAGTTGACCCTTGAAATCCACAATGTGGATTTGAACTTCCTGAATCTCCTTATATGCTGATTGTCTTTTGTCTCTGCCACTCCTAAGACATCAAAACCAACCCCTCCTCTTCCTCCTCCTCCTCAGTCTACTCAACATGAAGATGAGGATGAAGACCATTATGATGACCCACTTTCACTTATTGAATAGTAAATGTATTTCCTTGTAATTTTCTTATTGATATTTTTTCTCTAGCTTACTTTATTGTAAGAATACAGTATATGAATGCATATAAAATACAAAATATGTGTTAATTGACTATGTTATAGGCAAGGCTTCCAGTCAACTGTAAGCTATTAGTAGTTAAGTTTTTGAAGAGTCAAAATTAATATGTGGATTTTCAACAGTGTGAGGGATCGGTATCCCTAATCCTCGTGTTGTTCAAGGGTCAATGGTATTTCATTTAACTGTCTGAATAAATGGGTGAATTGGGTACTGTTATTATCTTCATTTTACAGATGAGAAAACTGAGTCTTAGACAGACTAATAACTTGCACAAGATTGTATGTACAGTGATGGAGTCAGAATTTTGAACTCCAACAATCTGATCATTCTTTGTATTGATTTGCTAGTGTTGTCATACAAAATACCACAGACCACGTGGTTTAAATAACAAAATTTATTTTCTCACAGCTCTGGAGTCTGGAAGTTGTAGATCAAGGTGTCCACACAGTTGGTTTCTCTTGAGGCCTCTTTATCCTTGGCTTGTGGACAGCTGCCTTCTTGCTGTTCCTCTATGAACTCACATCCCTGGTGTCTCTGCGTGTCCAAATTTCCTCTTCTTGTAAGAACACTAGTCAGATAGGATTAGAGCCCTGCCCTTATGACCACATTTGACCTTAATTAGCTCTTTCTAGACTACATTATCATTGAAGTTAGGGCTCTAACATAGGAATTTGGGGAAAGCACAACTAGTCCATAGCAGTGCCTGGTCCATTGGTATGGCTGAGCAGACATTTGCTCAGTGAATGGGAGAAGGTTTTAGTCAAGGAGATGGGAGTGATGGTGATTCTCAAACTTCAGTATGACTGAGATTTACTAAAATGTCTGTTAACATCACAGATATCCCAGTCCCCACACCTAGTAATAAAAATTCTAACCCAGTAGATTTGGAGTGAGTTTCAACACTGTGTACTTTTAACAAATGTCTTCAAGGCAAGGGATCTTCAAAAAAAGCTAAAAAATATACTAGAGAATGGGCAAAAACTGAGAAAAGGATCACTCTCTTGTCTAAAATCTATGCTATTTTTTGTAGTCCCTGTTTTAGTTTACCTGAGTCATCAGGGAGAAAGTAATGATCTTGTTATAAGTGGTCTTCATCATTCAATAAAATGTTAGGCCACTTTGTTTGTTAAAATTTTTTATTCCAGGTGTGAAAAACAGAAGCTGTTTTCCTTTTGCTTTCTACAAATTTCAGTTCTTCTTTTTGTATTTTTCTCCTTTGGGAAGAAATCTACTTTCCCAGGTTAGTTATTTGATGCTACACAACTATTCTTGAACACAATGGAAATCTCAAATGATGTTATCATTTCTCCCCAACTTTTCTGTTGATTCACATTTCCAATCTGTCCTTTCCTTATTACCTTTAACAATATCCTATGCAGTAGGACCTTAGTTTTATAACCTTCTGAAAGATGATATCATCAGTAATAGAAATCACTTTTCCCCAAATAAACAGTTTTTAGTTAAATGGCATTTTGAAGAAGTTCCAGATAGCTTATCAATTCTGAATACATTTCATCTCTTTATCAGTTTTGTGAATTCAACTGGGAAAACTTCACACCCTTTTTCAAGTGCTTAATGAAAATATTTTGAACTATAGCAGAAAGATTTGGAGAAGGATATAATCAAAACTTGGGGAGTACTCATCTTAAGCCAAAAACTTACTGAAGAAAATTCAACTTTAAGGTTGGGACCAGTAGAAAGGCAGTACTGGTCATAGCTTTGACTTAAGCACTAGCCAATTTCTACTCAGGTGAGTCAAAGGAAGCCACTCAGGAGAGTAGCACACCAGGTAGCAGAATCAGCATTGCAAAGCACCATGGATTTACATGTTGGTCCTTTATTATTGTCAGGAAAAGGCTTGTTAAGTGAAACAAATGTCTAGAGCAGAGATCTTCAAACTAGGGCCTGTGGGCCAAATTTGGACTTCTCTCTGTATTCACAAATAAAGTATAGTTTGAACACAGCCTCACTCATTTGTTTATATATCGTCTATGGCTTCTCTCATGGCACCATTGAGTAGTCATCTATAACCACAAAGACTAAAATGTTTACCTTCTGGCCCTTAGAGAAAAAGTTTGCCAGCCACTCATCTAGAGTAAGTTTCTCCAGCCATATAAAATATGCACATCAGTAGCAATGGAATAAAAGAATATGCCACTGAAAGAAAGGAAGCTGCTCTCTGAATCTCTGAATTTCCTACTCTGAGCTGGAGGTCACAAGCAGGAGTGTGGACATCCCTTGTAGGCTTAGAACATTCAGCCTACACCTTTCCTTCCTCACAGCCCCAATCAAGGACTAAGAGTTTTATATCAGAAATAGGTCTGAATGATGCTAAAGCCCAGCTCCCTGCAGGATCAGCTTTGATTTCCAGATTTCTGTCCAACCCTGCAGGGCTGCCTAGACTCCCAGGCGCCACCCTTCCTGCTCAGAGTCATTTGGCTCCTCCTGGCCCCAGTTCTAACAAAGGGGCCGCTGACCTGAGTCATTTAG